GCGGCATTGGTCAAAACTAAAGTCAAATTGGGTCAAAAGCAGACTTAAGGGTAGAGGTCAGAAAGCTGGTTGCTGGTCTTGCAGAAATGACTGGTGGTGAGAACTTTGACATGTAAGCATAATCGCATCACTTCCGGACGTAGATTGGGCCTTATCTCCCTCTGGCTCGTTTGCTATCGAATCATGCCACACATTTACAACAAAAAGGAAGCTCAAACATCAGCAACTTATTGCTCGCCACGGGTCAAGATGTGGCAGGTGGTTGTCCCTTTTGTGCTGCTGCAACTCGTTCGTGCAGCACCCGAACAAGTTCATTTGGCTTTTCATGGCAACTATTCGGTGATGAATGTCGTCTGGACTACGTTCAGCAGTGGTGAATACTACCCGTTGTCACAGACTTATGAATACAATATTATTGATGTTTCCAGATTCTTCGACCGTTAACTACGGCACGTCACCGTCTTCTCTAAAGTTCTCGACGACAGGCTCGCAAAAAGAATGGCGATCCGGCAGTATCACTCGGTATTCACACCGAGCACTTATGAAAGATCTTCTACCTAGCACAACTTACTGTAAGTTGCTAAGATGTCTAAACTGTTGCTCAGGTGTTCAGCGTTACAGTTGTACCTGAAATAGAAGCAAGAAAACGTTCAGGGTACAAGATCGGCTCCCGTACGTTCCAGTTCAAAACCTTGCCAGAAAACCCGAAATCATATAGGGTAATAGGACTTATTGTGGCATTGATTCGAGTAATAATTTGATGAGCAGTTTTGATTGAGGTGTGCGTTTTTGGCGATCTGGGATACTATCATGGCAACTCCACAGACAGCATCATTCGTAACGGATTATCCGGCATGTTCGATTTCATCGTTCACGTTGGTCAGTGAGTGACGCTTGGTGTCGCATTACTGTGCTTTCTTTTTTGGTCCATTCAGAAGACTTTTGGAGGTGATATCCTTATTGAAATGAGCCACGCACTCATACACATACACACATACTATACTATACACATATACTTGGACATACACATACGCTTGGATTCGTAGTAACATTGAAGAAACGATTAGTGTGTCGATGCCAGACGAGGCCTATTTCGGGAAGGGTATAGAGATGCACGCGTTTTGTTTTTATCCTCTCAACTAATTCGTTAACCTAAAAACAGCCCAGTGGGCATGAAAACTCGGCTGGTCAGGATGGGATGCGACCCAGGGTGGAGTTACGCTTATGAGAGCCTTTTTCTGCCGTAGATTCGGTAGCAAAGGCAAAACGCATCGGAAACTAACGTTGACATAGACAGAGGGACTGTTACTGTCAGAAGGCAGGGTTGGTCCCTGGCACTTTTCGGAAATTCTTCACCTCCCC